TTCATCAATGGAAACCTCAAGGCCACTATATATTTGAAATTGCAGTTTCCTTCTTTAAGCACTGAAGCTGGCATGTTCCCTGAGTTTTTTCAGCAAGATGGTGCACCACCACATTATGGGTGTCAGGTCCGAGCATTCCTAGATGAACAGTTTCCTGAAAAGTGGATTGGTTGCCATGGGCCAGTTGGATGGCCCCCAAGCTCTCACGATCTTACCCCCTTAGACTTTTATCTTTGGGGTCATCTGAAGACAATTGTCTATGGTGTGAAGATAGAAGATGTGCAGCACCTGAAACTACGGATACTGGAGGCCTGTGCTGGCATTTCTCCTGCAGTGTTGCTATCAGTGTGTGAAGAGTGGAAGAAGAGGGTATCATTGAGAATCCAACACAATGTGCAGCACATTGGACACGTTTTATAAGTGGTCAGAAACTTGTAAATAACTCATGAAAGAATAGTTACGTTGAAACAAAGCACACCATTGTTTTTATTGTGGAATTCCCAATAAGTTTGATGTGCCAAATGACCCTCTTCAAATTGAAAAAACAAAAGTTGGATCCAAGATGGCCGACTTCAAAATGGCCACCATGGTCACTGCCCATCTTGAAAAGTTTGCCCCCTTACATATACTAATGTGCCACAAACAGGACGTAATTATTCCCAACATTCCCATTTTATTAAGGTGTATCCATACAACTGGCCCAACCTGTAATTACTGTTTTCAAACACGTTTCCCTAATCACCTCAACTTGACAACAGGACCAATTAGTGATCTAAAAACGATGTACGTGTGGCCAGTGCGTAACACAACAGATGACACTAGATCAGCCTAGAAATCAAATCCAGCCTAAACTATAACCTGCTAAAATTGTTCACTGAGAAGCTCCAACAAAACGGCAAACCCAGCATATCCAACTCAATCTCTTCTCAACTTTTTGATTTAGTAGATAATTTATATAACTTTGTACGATCTCATTCGTACAATTTAGTACGATTTGCTCATCACCTAATGATGGTTGGGTTTAGGGGTGGGGTTGGGTGCCACACCTTCTTTTTAAAATCTTTTATTTTCATATGACTGAACTCATACGAATGAGCCACTAAATTGGCAAAACGTAAAACACTTATGCTTTCTGGTGAGATCAGATCACATTTAGGCAAAATCCACAGACAGAGCAGTGTTCAAAGCAATGCCCTTTTTAAAACAGGACTGGATCAGATTTAACAGATAAAACTTTATGAAGACAGCAAATTTATGTGAACTTGAGCGTAACTTTTAAAAACATTATGATATTCATGTAAACTTAGAAATACAGGTATAGATATTCCAACAAAATATCACAGTATAAGCAAATATAAAGATAAAAAAGAAGAACCAACTGAAAACAGCGTGTCAGGGTTAGTTCGCCCAAAAAAAAAAATGTTGTTATTACTCAACGTCATGTAGTTGCAACACCCAGGAACCTTCAGTCATCTTCAGAACACAAATAAGGATATTTTAGATGAAATTGGAGAGCTCCCTCAACCTCCAAATGACGCAATGATCTCGAGATGTTCAGACAAATATAAAAATACTGTCAAAACATTCCATGTGACTTACTGTAATGCCGAGTTCAGACTGCATGATTTTCAAAGTAGTTATGTCGCAGATGTTTTCACACTGCATGACTATCTGGGCTAGCGTTTTGTCGCTGCTTTATTTACACTGCAAGTTGGATCGGCAACAGGGAGTTTCACAATGCATGACCTTACAATAGGAAGAATCGCCAACAACTGTTCAAACTACATCTCACAACCAAAAACATGTAGTATATCGTTTGTTATTAACTACAAAACGAGAAAGAAGCCTTTAATGGGTAGAAACTGTACATACTCACTTGGGTTTAAAGGGAATTTGCAATTTCTCCTCAACTTTTTTCTTTTTTTGACCCGGTTGCTCAGATCACACGTCAAACAGACACAGCTGCTCCTGCCAAACTTCCACTAGTTTTTCCTCCATTTCTTAGGTCCAAATAAACTGAAAATGAACGCTTTTAACTTCTCCCCCAACCTCTCGCTGGCCTGCAAATTCCCACGCTCGTGGATGCTGCTTTCTCATTGGCTGTAGACGATCGCGGACGTTATTTTCAGTCAAAACTAATTTCGCACGGCATGATTTGAATCGCCGACAGCTCCAGATATTTAGCACGCCAAATATCTCACAGGCATCTGCGACTCATCGGCGATTCTCTCAGATCGCGTCTTTGATAGTTCATACTGTGTGATTATCACTCACGTGCACGAGCACCAATTTGCCTGTGATTTCAGACATTTGTGGGTGATTTCTCAAAACTTGTCGGCAAGTCCAAATAGGGGCTAAAATCATGCAGTCTGATCTCGTGGGTGTTTGAACTTCCGGGAGACTTGGGATGTCTGAATATCACGTTTAACAAATAAAGTGAGACACGATCCAGTGGTACATCCTTTATAAACTGTCCGACGTGCACTGCTCTGGAGCTCAGAGGAGCGCATGACAGTGTGTGGCTGTGTGTGTGTGGTCATGTGATGTGTTTTCAGCGGACAGAGGGCTTTTCAGAAATGCTAGGTAAAACACGATGTGTGTTGATCATTTTCGTTCTATAATGGCATTTTAACACTAAGGGCCCTACCATACACCCGGCGCAGTGTGACGCAAGGCGCGGCGCAATACTTGTTTGCTAGTTTCAGCTTGGCGCAAGAGTCGTTTTGAGGCGTTGCGCTATGCTGTTTAAATAGCAAATGCATTAGCGCTCATTTGTGCGCTCATAGGCGTTCTGGTCTAAAAAGGGAGGCGTTCTGAGGCGGACTGCTGGCGCATTGCTATTTTGAGAAACTATAATAGATTTTTCATTAGACCAAAACAAACCCGGTCTAAACTCCAGCGCAGAGTTGTCTCGCTTACGCACTGCTTAATACCCACAAGAGAGCAATAGGCAAATATCTTCACATATGAAAAAATGTAAATATGAAGGATATATATTGGATATAATAAGAATAGATATAGGATATAAATATAAAGGATTAAAATATTACAAAACATATTATTTTCTAGCCAACATAAATATGAAAAACCACTGCTTTTATGTCTTCTTCATCTCGGGAGGCTTTTTCAGTTCATTTATAACAATTTGCTTTTGTATAATGTTGTTATTATTAGCAGTATTATTTATTATACCCATATTTATATTTGTTTTATTAAAAACAAGCTTAGATTTGCCCACTTGTCAGGTTTTAGACCATATGGGGCACAGCATGTGTTTTAGGATATAACTCAGGTTTTTGAGCACACTTCGTTATTATTGTTCATTTATTCGTTTGCTGGAAATTAGAACTGAATTTAGAAATGGTTTTGAAACAAATACTTGCGCTTAACAAACAAAAGTATTTATTTATAGACTAATTGATGTCTGTGCGTAAAGGTTTCCTTATCCAAGAGCGAATGTGAAAGTAGATCCATTATCTCTCATTCTCACGCAGTAGATGCTCTGTTTAACAGTTTTCTTGTGAAATGCTCATTTTTTCCACTTAGACTTACTTTGCGTCCTGTAAATAGCAAATGCGATTATGGTGCGACGCAGCTGCTCTTAAAGGGAATGGGAGATGAGACTCTAATTGGTTTAGTCTCAAAACACACCTATAACTCATTAAGAAAATAAACTCAACCCTTTTAGACCATGCGCCACGGAGCAAAGCAGGTTTTTCCGTCCTTAAATTAGCAAAAACGCGTTCTGACATGCCCTGAAAGCGTTTGCGCTCTGCGCATGGACCGTCAAAATAGAGCCCTATGACTTAT